GGGGCGTCAGTGGGATGTCAGTGAAGTACTTGTCATACTTGAACATTGAAGCGTTGGGCCCTACACGTACATAGAAACGACATGCCCTGGCGGTAGGGCATGCGCTCACCAGCACTGGACCACTGGGGATCAGTGTGAAACACTCCGAGTGAGCACATGTCCCTTGCCTTGCAGACGGCGGCCCCCGGTCAGCAGAGGCTGGTTGTGGTTTCTGTCTCACCCCAATCCAGAGCGTCACTGGCCGCAAGATTTCAGCTGACCCCTACAGACACTGCCAAAAAGCTGACTGCATTCTTTAAGAAACTCGGTAGGCACCAAACGTCGTGTGAGCACTGTAGCTCAGCATGTGGGGGGGGGTCTCGCGAGGGGGCACCTCAGGCCTCTGAGTCACTGAACTCAAACACACCAGAACCCTCCGAGTTGACCTCAGCCCGAAGTTTTGGGTTGACACAGGAGAGCTGTGCCTTTTAAGAGAGAGCCTTCTGAATCCTCTGCTTTCCTGGTCTGGAACTCGCCTGCTCCTCGTGTCGTTTTTAAATGATCACCATCGAGGCCCATTTCCCAGGTTCCTGGCAGGTTCCTGCTCAGATCGACTTTGGTCGACCTCTGTGAGCCACGAGCTGGGCTGGGAGGTTGTGGGCTTCATGCTACCAGGGGCATGGCCTGGTCCTGGACAAGTCATGGTGGGATCAGCTCCCTGGGGCATGGTCAGCTGTGCCTCACCATTCAGCCACCCTTCATGTGGGTGAGGTGGGTGCTTGCTTTCCAGGGGTGCACTATGTGTTCGATACCGCCTTCTCGAGGAACTTCAGTCTCCTTGAGAACCAGCGAGAATTTGTGCAGCGGTTCCGAGGACAGGCCAACTCCACGCAGGCCTTGCCTATGTTCACGTCCGCCTGCCCAGGTGTGTCCACACTGCTGGATGCGGGGAACGGGAATGCTGGGGAGGGGGGCAGCGCAGGCTTCTGGCAGGATGGCCTCCTTGGCAGAAGGAGGCACCCTGAGAGTCACTTAGTTCCCTAAGACCGTGATCTCACAGATGCTGGCAGCACAAGACAGTGGCAGCAGGGCAGGGACGTTCTGTAACGGGACCGTAACTCCTTGTACGAGTTGGTCCGTCCTAGAACGTCCTGGCACTCACTGCCTAGCTGGTGAGATGCTCTGTTTGTTCCGTGTCGGCCTCAGGCTGGATTTGCTATGCTGAGAAGACGCACGGGAGCTTCCTCATCCCTTACCTCAGCACTGCCCGGTCCCCACAGCAGGTCATGGGCTCCCTGGTCAAGGACTTCTTCGCCCAGCAGCAGGTAACGGGAATGTTCCAGCTGTGAACAATTCACTGTCATTATCCTGAAAGATAAGCCAAGAGTTACAGTGTCCACAGACCCATACAAAGAATCTCGGTTACATCCTGGCCATTGGCCGCCTCTGCCACCCCCACCTTACCCAGTGGGCCCCTTTACTGTTGGGTCAGGTAGCGACTCCACATTTCCACATCTCTTGGCAGCATTTGACCCCCGACAGGATCTACCATGTGACAGTGATGCCCTGCTATGACAAAAAGCTGGAAGCTTCCAGACCAGACTTCTTCAGCCAGGAGCACCAGACTCGTGACGTGGATTGCGTTGTCACCACAGGTTGGGTCCCGCCGTCCTGAGCCTAGGGCATGAATGGCGTTGCCTGGGTCCTGCCCATCGGCTCTGGCTGGAGCTGCCATCCCCTGTGCATGAGGCACCCCCCGGCACTACCTGGGCGTTTGCTCTAAAACAGTCTGCATGGGGAGGTGGGTGGAGATTCTTGTCAGCCGCTCTCACGTGGGTCACCCCATTTCTGAGTTGAGCAGCCTCACAGTGTCTCCCAAGTGCTTAAAATCCAGAAAAGTAAACGCTCAGGACCCCAAACAATGGGGGGGAAGGCCTCCCTGCGTGAACACGTGCCCCTGTCCACCTTGTGGGGAGCTGTGACCACCCCGCTGCAGGCGCACCCTAGGGATGGGCGTGCCCACCCCCCGCCATGTTGCTCTGAGGGTGGGCTGCGGGTCTGGGGAGCAGGCTGGCTCTTCTGAGGGGCTTTAGAAGTGGGCCTTCCTTGCCTCTGTGCCTGGGTTCATCCTCCACCCACAAGCCAGGAGGTGGACGTTTAGGTGTCCATCTGCCAGGGACGCATATGATGTGGGTTTCCTCGATGTTGTTTTTATCGAGATCTCAACTGAAGAGCGTCTGTGCTGGGGTCTTCTTGTAGGGGAAGTCTTCAAGTTGCTCGAGGAAGAAGGGGTCTCCCTCTCGCAACTGGAGCCAGCCCCCCTGGACAGTCTGTGAGTCACCTAGTATGGTGGAGCCTGGCGTCAGGGTCTCCTGCTGTGGGTTTGGGGGCTGCAGGTGTCTCAACAAGCAGAAGTGAGCACGTGGGAGTAGGCAGCGTTCCCTCCCTTTCTCTTCCCCACCATGGCTTCCTTCTAGTTGGTCCCATGTTTGCCCTGTGGTCTGTCTCGGTGTCCACAGAGGTGATCAAGTTCATGAGATGGCCAGTGGACAGCTAACTGATGGTCATCAGAGCTGACCCCAACTTGACACAGGTCTGCATTCCCCAAAACAGGTTACTCAACAGAGGGACAATCTTTCTCCCACCTGAGCTACCTCCTGACACACAGACAAAGCCCCCAGGTTTTGGGCTCCTTTTCCATTTAGAAAAGCAACTCCCTCAAACATGAGACAGAAGTTACCCAAAATCTCTGTGGACAGCAGCCCTGCTGCCCCCTGAGGCCGTGCTCTGCTCCCCAGGTGCAGCAGCGCGTCTGCCCAAGAGCCCACCAGCCATCGGGGCGGGGGTTCTGGGGGCTACCTGGAGCACGTGTTCCAGCATGCAGCCCGGGAGCTCTTTGGAATCCACGTGGATGAGGTCACCTATAGACCCCTGAGGTCAGTGAGAAGGGCTGGAGCTTGGGGACAGGGGACAGGGCAGCCCAGCTCGGGCAGTCTTGGCCCTGGGTCCCCTCGCTGAGGTGGGCTTGGAGGACAGCGGGCTGGGTTTGGCGAAGACGCAGGGCACCAGGTAGGAGCTGAGCCCTCGTCTCTGGCCGGAGCTCTCCAGGGCTCTGCCTCCCCATCATAGTGGTCGAGAGCCCCCAGAGGCCATGGTGGCAGGGTCCGTCCCCACATAATGCCCTCTTCCACAGACAGGGGGCCGGGGGCAGTCTGACGAGGCCATCCTTGGGAGGGAGGCAGTTCCCATTCTAAAGATCAGGACACTGAGCGGAAGTGAGCTTTTTGCTCTCCCCTTCCATCACCATCCCCCCGTGGAGGAGCAGGTCAGGGTGGCCCATGTGCCTGCAGGGGTGGGAAGCAGGAGGGAGCCCAGCCTGTGCCCCCCTCAGGAACAAGGACTTCCAAGAGGTGACCCTGGAGAAGGAGGGCCGCGTCCTGCTGCGCTTTGCCGCAGCCTACGGTTTCCGCAACATCCAGAACCTGGTGCAGAAGCTCAAGCGAGGGCGCTGCCCGTACCATTACGTGGAGGTCATGGCCTGCCCCGCAGGTAGCTGTGGCACGGGGGCCCTTTCTAGCACCAGGGCTGTAGGCAGGGTCCCACCCGGGCAGGGGGGCTGGAAGTGGAGCCCTGTCCTCGCCTGACCTGGGTGGTCAGGAGGTCAGGAGAGCCAGTGTGGGGGGTCCTGTGTCATATCCCCTGCGCAGGCATCCCCGTCATGACCATGCTCTTGCCTGCCCTGCTCACAGGCTGTCTGAACGGCGGAGGCCAGCTCAAGGACCTCGGCACGCCCAGCAAGGCACTTCTCCAGCACGTGGAGATGCTGTATGGCATGGTCAGGACCGAGGCGCCGGAGGAGGTGCCTGGCGTCCAGGAACTATACAGGTGCTGGCTGCAGGGCGAGGGCTCAGAGCGGGCTGGCCACCTGCTGCACACGAGCTACCATGCGGTGGAGAAGGCCAGCTCCGGCCTCAGCATCAGGTGGTAGGAGGCCTCCTCGCAGGGCTGCTGGGCCCAGCACAGCCCATACTGGGACTCCCACGAAGCTCATGTCCTGAGACCCCAGGGATCGCCCCCAAACCACTGACTGCGCTAACCCACACAGAAATGGGACTCAGGACCCACAGTCAGGCAAGGTGACCTCCAGCCTGCCCTCACCCAGACTCCCGAGGGCAGGGGGCCGGAGGTCCCACAAGGTCCCAGAACCTCCCCATGGGCCCAGGTCTGCGAGCAGTGTCCTCGCTGCTCCTGCCTGGAGACCCAGGTGAGGCCCAGTCCCGTGGGCAGCTTAAGGCAGAGCGAAAGTGGGACTCCTCATCCCCATTCCTGGAGTCACCCCTGAAGCTGGGTCTGCCAGGCTGGGGGCAACCCACCTGCCCTGGACAGCAGAGAACGCTGGCCAGAGAGGGGCACCCAGGCCACTGAGCCCCATGCTGGGGATGGCGTACCTGCCCCACCTGGAACTGGGCGTTGAGGACGCTGTGGCCTTGGACCTGACAATGCGCATTTCTGGGCAGAGTTCCAGGCGAGAAGCAGGCTCTGTTAGAGAGACCCTGTGAGATGAGGCACTAAGTCCATCTCCACAGCTGGGTTACGGGGGTGGGGGAGAGGCAGATCGGGGTAAGCCTGCCAGGCCTGTTGTCACAGAGCTCCCAATCTAATAAAGGGATCTCTCTGAAAACGGCTCCGAGTCCAAGAGCATTGACCAGCGTCAAGAACCTTTCACAGCTTTATTCAAAGTTCGGAAGCCCTGTGCACTCCAGCACGCTGCTTCCGAAACGCCCAGGCCTTGGGGCTCACATGCACCCCAGAGAGGGGCCTCACATGTCCAGTGCCAGGGTGCCCCCCCTCCAAGGCTGGACAGCCAGCTGGGCAGGGCCATGGAAGGTTCCAGAGGCAATCCTCCTATGGGCTCAGTCGGCCGAGGTTTGAAGGAGAGATGTGCTGCCTGCCCCCACAGCGGGTCTACTTGGGGCTCATTTCTGTCGAGGTGTGCCCAGGAGCCCCCACTGCAGTGCCAGGAGAGCCCGAGCCTGCGGCTGCACCGGCTCAGCCGCCCGCTGGAAGCTCGCCCGCTCCTTGCAGAGTGCCTCCAGGACCTCAGCTGGGGCTGCCTTCCCCGTGAACTTGCGCACAGGCTCTTCTCTGTGGGGAAAGGGGACGCCGTGGGGAGTCTGTTGGGGAACTGCCAGGGGGTGTTAGCAGAGGACCCTTAAAAAGCAGCCGCTCCCTGGTGCCAGTCAGCCCAATAACCAGTCCCCTGGCACCTCCTGCAGTGCCCAAATGACACCAAGGAGGACCAAAGGACAGCAGGCCAGCCGCGAGGCATCCTGCTCTGGGGCACAGCCCCTGGGGTGGGCACGGGGCCCCCATAAGGCCTGGGACGCCGACCAGTACTCACGCCACCCTTAGGAAGGGGTTGTAGAGGAGCTCCTCGCTCAGGGTGGATGGCACTGTGGGCATGTCATCCTCGTCCCTCTTCTGGAATGACCACAGGCCCTTGTCACAGCCTTGTCTTGAGAGCCCCAGGCAACTTGGCTTCGCTCCTTCTACTCACCCCTTCCTGGGGGCGGGAGCAGAAGAAGGGCTGCCTTGCCCCATCCGGCCCTTGAGGGCAGCCACCCCTGGGCCAGTCCTACCAGCTGCCCAGGCCCCTATCCAAAGCCAACCACTCCTCCCCTCCCCAGCAGGAGCCTCAGTCAGTGGTACAGTCCGGGCTAAGCCAGATCTGGTCAAGTCTGACTCCCCCTGCAGTGCCCCTCCTCTGCCCCAACCTTCATCCACCCTCCAAACCTCTAGGAGAGAGGGAGGGGTGGCCGCACCTTAGCCCATGACAGCTTGGCTCTCACGTGGTCATTGCCGGGCTCCACTTTCTGTGCAAACTCAAGGTTGCCCAGTGTGTGCTCATGGCCACAGAACACCTTCTGGAGAAAGGAGGCACTCAGGGGGTGCACAGTGCTGCCACAGGCAGAGATGGAGGAGGCGCTCACCCGGGCTGGCTTGACCCCTCCCTGGACCCCAGCACCCCGTGCCTGGTCTGCCTTGGCTCCTCGGCTGAGGAGTGTTCATTCTGCACCCCTGTGGCACAAGTCACGGACAGAGCCTGCAGGTTGTGCAGGGCGGCTGGGCCCTGCAGGAGGGGAAGGGATGGCCGCTCACCGTCTCCGGGGGCAGGCTGCCCAAGGTCTCCTTCAGGCTCTCATACATCTGCTCAGCTGTGCTCTCCAGGCGCAAGCCACAGCCAGCCACCGACAGCGCATCCCCTGGGGAGGACAGCAGGTCAGAGAAGGTGGGGCAGGGTCAGAGGGAGGCGGGGCTGGCGGGGCGGGGCAGCCAGTACCCGAGAACACCGCGGGCGGATCCGGACACTCCTCTTCCCACAGGAAGTAGCTCATGTGGCCGGAGGTGTGGCCCGGCGTCAGGAGACAGCGCACGTGGATGGCCCCAAACTGCGGCAGAGGGGCGGGCGGCTGGTGAGGCGGGAGGGCCCAAGGCGATTCCCCGCCCTCCCGGGCGCGCGCTCACCCGCAGCTCCTCGCCATGCACCAGCCTGCGGGTCAGCGCGCTAATGCGCTCGTCCGCGCCCAGCACCGCCAGCCCTGGCCGCAGCCGCGCCAGCTCCGCGTTTCCCCGCGCGTGGTCCCTGCGGACGGGCGGGAGCAGGATCACGCCGGGCTCGGGGAGGGGCAGGGGCGATGCCCTCGCGCCTCGGCCCGCCCCGACCGCGCTCACCAGTGGTGGTGGGTGGTCAGCACGGTGGTCAGTGATACCCCCTCCCGGCCCACGATCTCCAGCAGCTGAAAGGGACGGAGTTAGGGAGATTTGGTAGGGCCAGGTGGCCGCCCCCACCCCCCGCCCCCGGCTAGGGCGCCAGGTGTGATGTACACAGAGTCCCAGGCGGGCCAGGGGGCGTAGGGGTAAGGGAGACCCCGCAGACAATAAGTGAGCTCCCAGGGCGTACGACAACAGGCACCAAGGAGGGGAAAACGGAGGTCAGAGGTGGTCCTAACTTCAGGGCAGACCCAAGATAATCGGGGAACCGTAATCGCCAAGTATCCAGAGATGAGAGAACAGGGGAAGGGCCTGCTCTAACCACGGTTGTCGGGGGACCCCAGCGGCGCTCCCCGCCGCCCACAGGTTGCCCTCACCCTCTTGGGCACGGCCACGTCCACGGCCACAGCCTCCCGCGTGCGCTCCTCGATGACCAGGTACATGTAGTTATCCTCGAGCACAGGGATGACCTTGACCTTCATGGTTGCAGAGCTCAGGCACCCCGCGTCTTCTCGAGAGGCCCCCAGGCTTTCGAACCCCTTCCTCAGGGCGGGGGCTTCCCTCTCCAGGCCAAGGCAGGGCTGTGCGAGGGAGGGGTCAGCTCCACACACACACTGAGGGCCAGAAAGGGAGCCCGCTCGCTGCTCCACGGACGTCCCGGAGGAGCGGTGCGGAAGCCCACGCCCCAGGCTCAAGCCCGGACGGCCAGCGCGGACGCCAGTCCCCGGCGACAGCGACGCCGTCGCCGCCCGCCGCGCAGGCCCCGCCCCTCGCGACGACGCAACCGCCCGGGCCCCGCCCGTCCCGCGCCGCGGGCCCCGCCTTCCCCCTTGAACCACGCCCCCCTGTGCCACTCTGTGCCTCGCACCTAGGCCACGCCCCTCCCCAGGCCCGCCCCGCCCCCTAGGTCCCCCTGCCGCCGCGGCGAGACACCGGCCCCGAACCGTTTCCTTACCCGCAGGGGCTACGCCAGCGCGGACCGTCCAAAAGACGGCCGGACAGACACGGGCCTCAGACGCTGGCCACGGGGCCTGAACGGAGCACGGCGCTCGGCCCGGCTGCCGCCAACGGCCCGTGCCCCGGCGCAGGGAGCAAGCGTGCGCGGGCTGGGGCGCGCGCGTTCCCGATGGGGGCCGCACGCACGTCCGGACCCGCAGCTCCCGGCCCTCCGGCGCCGCCTCCGCGAAGCCCTCCTGGCGCCGGGGCTGAGCCAGTCCTGAGTCCCCCAGCCCCTTGACTGGAACGTCTGCGCCCCCTTCCCTCGGCCTGGGGGCGGGGGAAACTTACAGTTCGTTCACCTGCCCATCCCAGCGCCCAACCAGAAACAGTAGGCACGCAGAAGGCGCCTACTCTGTGAACCCCCATGGCAGGGCAGGCACCCTGCGCGAGGACAGCAGTGACAGCCGCGGTCGCTCCATTCTGTGCTGGGCCTTCTCATGAACTCCTGGTTCCATCAGTGCCCAGGATAAATGCTGCGGCGCCGGAAACCAGAAAGGATGGGGAAGCCATATACGGAAAGAGCTGAGGGAGTCCCCCCTCCCCTCGAATGCCCTCGTGGGCGGGGCCCCCAGAGCTCCGGGGATCAGCAGGGGACCAACAGACGCCTTGGCAACACAAGCCACAGTGTTGCAGCAACAGGCCAGTAGGTAAGGCGGCACTGCACCCGGGGAGGCCAGAGTCCCTTCTGTCTATGGAGCATGCAGCAGCCACAGGCCCCAGGCCAGTGCCGCGACCTGGGGCCAGTGAGAACGTGAGTCCCTCCAGGACACTTCTTCTGCCATGGGGTCGGGGGTCCAGCCTATACCCTCAGAGGCCAGGAGAAACTGCCCTAGCTCAGGCAGTGTGTGTGTGGAGGGGGTATTGGGGAGGGGGGAGTGCATGGCTGGTGGCTCCTTGGGAGTGGAGTCCACTGCCCAAGCCTGAGACCCAACTGGGGGGGGGGGGGGGTGATGCCTCTCCAGGTTCTGCCACAAGCAGAGGACTGGACAACCAGCCTCAAGACAGAGCTTCCCTCAGATCTAGAGCTGAGTGAGGAGCACCAACTGCAGGTGGGTGTGGGGGCCCTAGAGTGCTAGCTAGCAAGAAGGAGGGTCCCACAGGCACCACCTCTTACTCTGGCCACCCACAGATCTCCAAGGAGTTGGTCGACCTGCAGATCACAACGCATCACCTGCGGGAGCAGCATGAGGCTGAACTCTTCGAGCTGAAGAGTGAGGTGGGTGCTGGTATGTGCCCACATGTGCCAGCCCGAGCACATGGGGGGAGGGTGCATACCTAGGACCAGTGCTGTGAGGGGTCCAGGTACACCCATGTGATTGTACACACTCATGCAGTGTCTGTGAGCCCCCACGTCTCCTGTGTGTGCTGTGTGTCCCTGTATGTACCCAGATGATGTTGACCTACCCTGGGTGGCCTGGCAGGCAGGTGCACCTGCTCACCCTGGTCACCCTGCAGGTCCTACGGCTGGAGAGCCGGGTGCTGGAGCTGGAACTGCATGGTGATTGTGCAGCCCCCCCAGAGGCTGGCCTGGGGCACCACCAGGAGCTGGCCCAGGGGCTCCAGCACAAGGCCTGGGAGCAGGGACACTCCGTCCACCACAGACCTCAGGTCACCATGAGGGCATGGAGGGCCTGGCTGGGTGGGAGCCCAACAGGGGTGCAGCAGAGGCACAGTGAGGTTGGGACCGACTCTCTTATACAGGCACAGCCTGAGGACTTCCTGGTCCCTAGGGATGAACAGCAGAAGCTGGGGAACAGCGTGAGTGTGCAGCCACCTAGCCTGGGGATCTGTCCAGATTTCTCCCAGCCCAGGGTGGTGTTGGGCAGTGCCAGGAACCCAGAGCTTGTGTATCCCGCAGCTGCAGGGAGAATGGAAGCGGGTGCTGGAGCAGCATAAGGCCCAGAAGCAGGCACTGGAGACACATGTGTGAGTGGCTGCCTCACTTGGGATGGAGGGGATCCAGACCGCACCAGGCTCAGAGTGGCTTTTCCCAAGAGCAGAGGGAGTCCCCACCCTGGGCCCAGCGGAGCTTCACATGCTTGTCCGCAGGGCAGACCTGGGCCGGCGACTGCAGGGAGCCCAACAGGAGGCCAGGACAGCTGGGCAGCGACTAGCTGCACAAGCCATGGTGAGGCCCAGCCTTACCCACTTTGAGATCTAGTAGGTGGTGTCCTACAGTCTGCAAAGGTCCACCCTGTGGTGTGTCGGTTCAAGACTGCCTCCACCCCCAGGTGTTGTCTGCCTGCCAAGGCCAGTTGCGCCAGTCTGAGGCAGAGAACGCCCAGCTGCAGTTGCAGCTCAAGAAACTGAACGAAGAGTATGCCGTCCAGCTGCAGCGCTGTGCCCGAGCCGTGGCCGTGAGCACCGGGTGGGGTGGCCCTGTGGTGAGAGGGAGGCCTCGCGTCCTGGGGAGTCCAAGCCCAGCCTGGGTGGGCCCGCCTGCAGCTCGGCCCCCTCCGCTCCGCAGAGGGGATTGTGGGAAGCAGTGTGCGCCCGGCAAGCCCCGCCCCCTCGGCCCTGGCCCCAGCCCCGCCCCACCCCCTCCAGGAGTATGCAAACGGCGCGGGCCGGGAGCCGGCCGCGGCAGCCCTCCGCACATTCCTAGAGACCACTCTGGAGGACGTGCGGGCAGCGCACCGCCGCCGTGAGCAGCAGTTGGCCCGGGCTGCTCGTGCCTACCGCAAACGCCTGGCAGATATGAGCCGTAGACACGAGGAGCTGCTGGCCGCCTGCAGGTGGGCCCCTCCCTGAGACGGGCACCTGGGCTGGGGTGGCCCTATGTGACTTGGCACGTGGCTTAGTGTGCGGCAGGTGCTGGCCGACTCCACTGGGGCAGCCGGGACCCCCAAAGCTACTTTTGATGCAGCCACCTCACACCTGGAGCCACTGTCTCTGCACCTGGTCTCCGAACTTGGCCACCCGGGAGCAGCCCAGGCCAGGCTGGAGACAAAGCTCCGGAAGCTCCAGGCCCAGGTGAGCTCTCCCTGCTGCCCTACACGGGCCTTGGAGCACAGCACCCCAGAACACACCCCAGGCCCATCCCAGGCTCAGCAAAGACGCCATCCCTGAGGAGCCTGCCTCATTCAGCCAACAGAGAATCCCTCCCACAGCCCACCAGGCTCATGCTGCTGCTCTTGTTCCTACAGAAGGGGCCCAGTGAAGCCTCCCAGGGGGGCACGTCAGAGCCACAGTGAGTACCCTGGGGTGGGTGGTGGGGGACCTGCAGGGAGATCATTCATTTATTCCCCCAACTCTAAGCCCTGGGTGGGGCTTTGGTTGCGGTGGTGAACAAGGTGGCCCATCTGTGCCCTTGGGTTTCGGTCTGTATGAGAGACATCAATAATCACAGAAAGCCAAGTACCTGGGTTAAGTGGGGCCCTGACAGGAGAGGGGCTAACCTTGAATGGGAGGGTCAGGGAGATCCCCTGAGAAAGGCACATTTCAGTGAGACCCAGGGGACCTAAGGATGAAGAGGTGTGGTGGATGGCCAGCAGAGGCCCTGGCCCCGGGACAGGACAGAAGCAGGCTGCCTGGTGGCTTTCGCAGCCCTTGCCTCTGGACCTCCATGTTCCAAACTGTGCAATGGGCAGGGGCTGGTATCAGCTCAACTCCCAGAGTTTTGAGAAATAAACTCCTAGAATGGGGGGAGGCCCCCCATCAACATTTGTACAGCACCGGGGTCACTGTCTGGCCTCGTGGCTTAGCCCTCCGTGAGCGGCCAGTAGGCCCTCTGGACCTGGGCTGCCCTGCCCCCATGTACCTACTGATGGCTCAAAGGCCCAAGCAGGGCCCAGAGTGGCCAGGTGGGCCCATGCTGTCCTGACCTTGCTCCCAGCAGGCAAGTCAGGCATCTAAGTGCCCCAGCTTGAGCAAGGTGATTGACCAACACCTGGCGTAATGCTGGCCCTCATACCTGCCCCTCCCTCTCTCCTCACAGGGGCCAGGAAGCTGCATCCTGGGCCCAGATCCACCAGAAGCTCCAAGACTTCTCCCGCGGCACCCAGGTAATAGGCAAGGCCTGGCTGGGGGCCCTTTCTCACACTTTGTCCAGCCTCATAGCTTATGCCCTCCCCATGGCAGGCGGAGCTGGAACGCGAGCGGGCGCAGCTGCTAGTACGGGCCACGATGGCTGAGGAGCAACTTTCTGAGCTACAGGAGTATGTGAGCCAGCACCTCGGCAGGTGGGCCTCAGTCCCAGGTAACAGAGCCGGGCTTGTGCACAGCCAGGCAGGTGACTAATCCTGACCCCTCCAAGCAGGTACAGACAGGAGATCCTGAGGCTGAGGAAGCTCATGGGTACAGAGAACGCGTGGAAAGTAGGGGCCACAGCTCCCATCAAGCCCCAGCACCCAAAGACCCGAAGCCGCTAGCCAGCTGTCACACTCAGAGCAGAACTCTTCACAGCCAGCATGGAGCCCTCCTCACAGCATCCTCTTGGGGGGGGCGGGGGTCATTCCACCCAGCCCTCCACCCAACAAGAGTCAGGACAGAGTCCACCGAGTCTTTATTGTGTCCAAATGGTCAGCCGCCCTGAGAATTGGGGGCCCCAGGCACTGATGCAGAACTGGGTCCTGGGGAGGCCTGACCAGCCAACCCACCACTACGGACATCATAGGCCCAGACGCGGTCCACACCCTCACCCATCACAGCCACAGGCTGCCACGTGGGGAGGGGGTAGCGCCCCGACACCACTCGGGCCCCTTGGGGCAGCTCTGCCTGCAGCTTGTCTTCCAGCAGTGGGAGCTGTGGGAGAGAGCAGAAGGGTAGAGTACGCACAATGGAACACGGCTGCCCTGCCCATCCTCCTCCAGGCCCAGCACACACACGGAGGATGGCCTGGACCTCCCCCGTAGCTAGCAGACCCCAGACCTACCACGCTAGGGGCCAGGAACACTGACAAGTTGTGGGAGTCCCTCAGGTTCACCTGCAAGAGGAGGGGAGTAGAGCCCCGGCCAAGGAGGTCTGGTGGGCATGTGGGCACTGTGGCTTCCAAGTCCTGGCCCCAGCCCACGCAGGTGGCAGGGGAAGCTGGGGTTGTCAGCACCGTGGCCAACCAGCACTGGAAGTGTGGAGGTCAGGTGCAGGGTCTGAGGGGCTCCCGGACTCCCTGGGTTACCTTCCAGAGGTCCTCACGGCGGTAGCAGACGCTGCCGGCACAGCCCGCCCTCCAGGCATGCAGCCGAGCCAGCCCCACTAGCCACGGGTTCAGCTCGTAGCCCACAGCTGGGCGGAGACCGCACCTGTGGGCGGCCAGCACCTGTGGGCACAGGAGGCTGTGGGGGACCAGAAGGAGGTGCGCTGGCGAGAACACCCCCCCCCCCCCCCCCCCCGCCACACACACACACACACACACTCCTTACGATCCTGCCATCGCCAGAGCCCAGGTCCACCATCTTTCCCGGCCGACCTCGCAGCAGCGACAACACGTGGTCCACCTGCCGCTCACTCGCACCGACATAGGGCACCTGGGCAAGGAGGCAGGCGAGGCTGGGTCCCCAAGCCTGAGTCACACGGCGGGGCGGGGAGGGAGGGCGCGGAGCCGGCCTCCGGAGCCTCCTGTCTGGGCGCAGGCGCCCTGCCCCACCTGCAGCCGGCCCCCACGCCCCGCTGGCCCCGAGGGGCAGCCCCGGGCCCCGCACCTGTAGCCGCAGCGGCACACGGCGGAAGCCGGGCTGCAGTAGCAGCGCCCACACGGCGTAGGCGGCCAGGCCTGAGCCCACCGCCGCCTGCAGCAGCTCCAGCGCGCCCAGCCGCCGCTCGCGCAGCTCCGTCAGCGCCTCGCCCGGTTCGTCCTGCTCCATGGCTGCGGGCCGCGCGGCTCAGGGTCGCCCCGCCCCAACGTCCCTCCCGGGCTCGGGTCCGAGACCCTCACGCGTCGGACGGGAGCTGGACGGCACCCTAGCCCCCCACCCCGTGCCCACCCGGCTCCTAACGGAGACGCCGGAAGTGGCGGGGCGGAGGCCTCGGCTGGGCGCCGGAAGCGGCCCTCCCCTGGCGTTCCCCCCGGGCCCGGGGCCCTTCCCGCGCGTTCCGGGCCGCGGAACTTGGCCCCGCCGGGTCCCGCTCGAAGCCTGCGCTCGCCAGCCCTCTCGGCCCAGTCCGCGCCCCCCCTGGCACGGGGACCCGTGGACCACACGTCCCCGCGCGGGGAGACGCAACAGAACCGCCGACCTCAGAGAGGGCTAGACGCTCCAGGGAAACGGGGTGCTGCGGCTCAAGGGAAGGGGAGCCCTCCCGGGGGTTCCCGCGGGCCCTGCGCGAGCGGCCGGATTGGCGTGCCTGGAGCCCGGGGGGAAGGAGGCTTCTTTTCGGGGGTGGGGAGGCCGTCCCGGGGAGGCGCGTGTCCGCCCACAGGACACCCCGAAGGCCAGCCCAGCCAGGGGCAGGTGCAGGGAGGACACCTTCCGGCTCCCTCCCACAGCTGAAGGCAGTCAGTCCGAGTGCGCAGGGACTGGAGGCTGCACCGGGACCTGAGGAAGTTGGGCGCTCCGCTGAGAGGCAGGGTTGACCGGGAGATTGAGCGGACACTCCGTGAGTGTGGTAGGAGGGCTGAGGGCTGGCTCAGCCACGGGAGTGCGAGAAAGAGCCCCGAGAGGGGGAGACCACCTTCCTTCTCCAAAAAATGTCCGAACATATGAGATTCGAGAGGTGACTTGGCAAAGCCTGGCGGTGGGAGAAGCCAGCTGGGGAGACAGAGCCTTGAGCCAGGACCTCCTCCTCATCCCACCTGAGGCCAGGTGTCTCATGGATGGTAGGGACTTGGACCCATCCGCTGCCCTGGTCAAGAACCTCGGAGTCAGACAATATAAACATGCCCAAGACCGCTGCCCCCACCCCCAAGTACAGACGGCCCCACGTGCCTGCCTGTACTTGGCCCCAGCAGCCACCAGTCCTGAAAGACAGGTGTCCCCGGGAGGCAGGGAACCCCAGTGCCCTGCTCCCAAGACCACTGGGGAGGGGGGGTGGCCCCACCTGGCTCATAGTATTCTGTCTCCTTTGGGACTGTCACAGGGCCCTCCCCAGAAAGAAAGGTTGTGTACTGGGCTCTAGGCTGGGCGTGCTTACATGGCACCCTGCTCTTGTGTCTTCTGTTCCTTGAATTATTGCCGCGGCCTAGAGCAGCACCTGAGAGACACTCAATAAAAACGTGTTGACTGAATGAAGGCACCCAACCCGATTCCTCAATGTACACCCCACAACGCTCATGTTCACATTCTGCACTCTGCTCCTCAGCCTTTGGACACTGGGCAGCTGGGTGTGTACCCGTGCAAGTGCACATGCCCGGAGGTGCCCCACAGGCCAGTTTCCGTAGCCCATGGCCCCCACATACATGCTCACCCGCACCGTTTCCCCTTGGCCCCTTCCCCCAGGGCAGGCATGAAGCCCCTGGCCCAGGACTTTGAGGCATGTCTTGGAGCACCCTGGGGGCTCCTTCGGCCCTGTTAGCCATACCCACAACTGCCCTTTGTGCACTTTATGAACTGAGAACTGGTTGCAAAGTCAGCAATTTCTCCAGGGAGGGTGTGTGCACAGGAGGCTCAGGCACTTCCTGGGGCAGGTGCGTAGAGACCACTGTCCAACCAAGAGCCCACCCCAGAGCAGCTGCCCCACGTTTTTTTAGACAGGTGGTCCAAGAGGCAGTCCACAGTGACCCCTAGTGTGGCCAGGCATCTCCTTCCAGTGAAAGGCTGTGGAGAGTTGACAGGACAGACACCAAGTCAGGACAGACACCAAGGGTGAGGATGCTGCTTAGCCCTCGAGAGGAAGCCATCCTTGGGGCCCGTCTGGACAGTGCAAAAACCTCCTGATAGGAGGAGGATCAGAAGTGTACACTCATCTCCTCTGCTCTTTGCTAAGCTACTCTTTGGTGAGGGGAAAGGGGCAGACGGGGAGACAGCCATCTGCAGACCAGTGAAGAGGTCCAGGCTGGAGATCAAAATGTAGGGTCATCAGTATCTTGATGGTTTTTAAAGCCGCAAGGCTGGTCCAGCTCTCCAGTGAGAGAATATTAACGGTAAGAAGGAGAGGTCTACTGCCTGAGCACGGAGCACGGAGCACCCCATGTTTGGGAGTTCGGGAAGAAGGGAGCAGCAGTGAACTTCAGCAGGGGCAGGTGGGCAGAAACCCACAGGAGCCTACCTCCCCTACCCATAATTGTCAGCCGAATCTGGAGGAAGGGGCCCTGCCTCAGTTCCTGCCTGAAAGATGACACGGCCTCTGGCCTCCATCCTCACTGTCAGCCCCTTCCTTAGTACTGGCAGGTAAGGATGGGACGCTGCTTCTGGGGCTCAACGCATCAGCCCATGCATCCCCCCACCACAACCTGAGCTTTGGCTCTCTTGGGAAGTGTGGGGTTGGGGTGAGCAGAGGCAGCTTGTCCCCAGTTTAGGAGCCCCTGCATGCACCCCCACCCCAGGGGCATTCAGCCCAGGGCCCTGGGCTTTGTCCCAAACTGCACTGGCCTTTTGTGTGGCTGAGGCTGAGGAGGAAGGCAGAGGCAGCAACAATAGGGCCAGTGGCAAGAAAGGTTCCTTAGAGACCCCATCATATGCCCCTGCCCTCCAGAAATGGGCAACATGCCTGGCTCTACAGGGGAGACCCCACTCCCCCGAGGCTTCCAGCCATGTAGGGATGCTCTGCACATCGCAAGGCCCTCCGGACAGAGGGGCCCATTCTTCCCCGGGGCTGGGATGGGGCCAGGATGACTGCTGGGCTCCCAGTGGACTACAGCAAGAAGTCCAGCACCCTGCCAGATTGCAACCCCCTTCCCTCACAGGCTAGGAGTGGTGTCTGCCTACCTGCCCCCCACTAAGGGGCCCCACCCACCTCAGACCTTGGGAGTTACAGCCCTTTTCCACTCCCACTCCCACATAGAGGGGAGGCTCCCTGCTTCCCCCCAAGCCAAGCAGCCGCTCCTCCCCAAGGCACGGGCCTAGGCCATTCCCACTCACTAGCTGGGTGGCCTTAGACAAGGCACCACTGCGCTGAGCCTCAGTGTCCTACTCTGCAGCAGAAATCGGAGCAGTCCCAGGGCTGTGGAGGCTCAGAGGAGGTAAGGGCCAGCTCAGGCATGGGACACTCCATCTACGCTGGCTAAGGAAATCAGTGTTCTTATTGGTTATCACTCTCACCTCAGAAGCAGCTGGTACCACCTGGAGGCGACCCCTCCCTACTCCCCCTCGACCAGCCCCTCCTCAGTGCCCTGCTCCCAGGCTCCTCAGTCCAGGGCCACCTCACAGGGGTGGAGGTGGTTGGCGTGGGCAGCCGCAGAGGCACGGCTGAATTCCTGGAAGCGAGGTGCACAGCCCAGCCAGGCCTCACCGAAGTGGCTCCAGCCCATGAAGAGGAAGGGGCCGGGGCCGGTGCGGACACTGAAGTGCAGCGGGGTGTGAATGGAGGCCTGCACGTGGCCCCCGGACTCCCCCACCCGGAACAGTGGCAGTGTCTGTCAGAGGACACGGGCAGCCGCCACCACGGTAACAGACTCCTGCAGCTCTGTGTCGTGGCCAACCCTGTGGATGGTTCCAGTGATCACTGTGGGGAGACACACTGGCCAGTGGCATGCAGGGGAGGGTGGAGGGTGGACCCCAGGCTCCCCCCACGGCAGAGACACTCACCAAAGTCACTGGTGCACGCGGCCAGCAGGAGCTCAGGGTCACTGCAGGGCCTGCAGGCACCTGACAGGAAGGGGACATGGTGAGGGTAGGTCCTGCCTTCTCCTGGACCACCCTAGGCCACCCCCAGCTGGAGGCAGGAGGGAAAGGGCAGGCCACCAGACCCTCCCCTGCCTGATGACAACTGGGGACCCGAGGCAGCATGTGGGCACCTGACACTTGAACGCTCACACATGCACAGACATGGGTCTAGGGGCTGTGCCCAGCGTACGGGCACGAGGACTCACGCACCGGGGGTGGGTGTCCAGGGACACACTCTCACACACCCATCTTAACATGTGCACACCAGCACACCCCTGTGGCTTCCCAGAGCTGTATCCTTGGGCCCAAAGACACCAGCCCAACCCAGGTGGGTGGCCGGAGGCTATCGTGAGCTTTGGAGTCTCTGGCCTGGGGCCCAATGCAGAACAGAAAGACCCCTATCCCCTGTGGGGTCAGGCTCCACGTTCTAGGAAAGTAAAGAGCTGGTCTTGGTGCCCTACAGGGAGGCAAGGCAGCATCTCCATGGTGACCAGACACACACTGAACTTTTGTTGTATTGGACTCGGGGAAGGGAGGGAGGTCACTGCTGGGCCAAGGAGCCCTGGACAGCTTTGGCTAGAGGCTTTGATTCTGTCTCCCATCATCCCCTCCCCCCACCCCTCAAGGACCAAGAGTCCTGCCTGCCCTTTCCCTAAGCTGAATCCTGAGGGATTGCCCACACCTCTCTCTGTCTCTTGGACCTGTCCTCACTAGCTGTGTGATCTTTAGTAACCCACTTCACTCTCATGCCTCAGTTCCTCTCTCTCTACGATGGGGATGACAGGCGCATCACCACCCAGCCCATCACTCACCATCAGCACCAAGACCGTGGGCCTGTGGAGGCAGTTCTGGATACCTGTCCTCGTGCATTTCAAAGCGGAAAGAGGCCACGCAGCAGCTGATGTCTGGGTGCGGGGTGGCCTGCAGGAAGAGGGACCGGCGCTCACGAGGACCCCAGCGCACGCATCGGCCCCGCGCTGGGCCCAAACCCTCAGCCAGCAGCAGCCCCAGGGCGCCGCCCGCCCGCTCCGCGAAGACTTGCGCGCCTGCGAAGGGCCGCGCCAGGCACAAGGAAGGCGGTGCTGGAGCGCCTGAGGGAGTCGGGAGTCGGGAGTCGGGAGTCGGAGCTGGCCAGGGTCAGGCGCAGCGCCCCGGCCGGGTACAGCCACTGGATCACGCCCCTCCGAACAGGCCAGGGACAGCTGCCCCACGCTGCCCGGCTCCTGGGTCAGGCCGCTGCGGACAGGACAGGACGGCAGGCGCCGAGGCAGGCGGCTTGCGTCCGCCCCCGGCGCAGCCCCCTCGTCCTGCACCCTCCCCCGAAGCCAGAAGCAGCTGCGTCCACTTGGTCCTCTGGACCCCGGGGGCGCGGAGGGGCCCCACAGCCCCAGAGCGCGGCCTTCTGGGGCTTCGTACCTGCCGCTCCAGCCGCAGCGGTCGTCCGAGTAGCCGGCGCAGGTGGCGGTGGCCAGGAGGTCCGAGCAGAGCGCGCGCCCAGCAGCGCAAGGAGCGCCTTGGCGCGGACGGGCGGGGCGGCGGCGGGAGCACCCCGGGCTCCGGCCGGCTCCGCGCACCGTTCCGCCCGCGCCCCACCTCTGCCCCGCAGCCCCGTGGGGGCCAAGAGCGGGAGGCGACGGGCCGGGCACGGCCAATCGCGGCGCGGCCCAGGAACTTTCCACCAATCGCAGCGGCGCTCGTGCGGGCGGGAGGCCGAGCCTCGGCTATTGTGGCGCGGAGGACAGAGCTCCAGGCTCTGTGTGCTGTGTCGCCCTCTCGCACCCCCCGCCCCGCATTGCCGTATGCGCCCTTGTCCTCGAGCCCTTGGCCGGGATAGGGGTGGGGGTAAAGCCCACTGGAACCTGTCTGGGGGGTAGGAGGAAGAGCGGCTCATCTCGGGTGGCCCTTTCCAAGAGTGGGCCCTGGGCTTCCAGTCTCCATGCTGCCCCAGCCTGGCCCTGCTGACTGGTCCCAAGAGATGGCACCTAGGGATGAGGGGCCAGATGCTGGGCCCGTGGGCACCATGGAGAAGCAGAAGCCAAAGGACAGCCCTGAGCTCCAGAATCAGGCCCCCGGGAGGTCCAGACAAGCTGAAATGGGGCCAAGACACGTGGAGGCTGAGGGGAGTGTCTGGGAGCCCAGAGATTTCCTGGTAGCAAGGACTTCCCCTGAGGGGAGGGGTGGAACAGAGCCAGATAGGCACTGGGGAGAATTCCAGGCAGGGGAGAGGAGCAGACTGCCTAGGCAAAGACCCAGAACAGGGTGAAATCCCTGGGTCAGATCACTGAGGCCCTAGGCACAAAGCCAGGAGTCCAACCACGTACTCCAATCCTTGGGGTCACTGAGAGCTTTAACCAAGGTCTGCAGGAAACTGCATAGACTCTCTGCCACCTATGGGTGTGAGCCCTCCACCCCACTATTTGCCTACCCCAGCCCTGCAGCTACCCCTGAGCCTGAAGGGCATGGCTGACAGATGAGGGAGGTGGCCCCAAGGGGAAGGGTGAGACACCCACAGGCTACAAGAGACCCCTTGCTCTGGACAACGAGAGTGAGGAGCTGCCATCACAACAGCCACAGGGCAGGTGCAACCTCAGTGTCTATCGACAGATGAATGAATAAACAAAATGCGGTCTGTCCAACAGTGGACTATGATTCCACCTTAAAGAGGAAGGCGATTTGGGGGCGCCTGGCTGGCTCAGGTCGTGATCAGGGGTCCTGGGGTTGAGCCCTACCTCGGGCTCCTTGCTCAGTGGGGAGCCTGCTTCTCCTTCTGCCTGCCATTCCCCCTGCTTGTGCTCTCTCTCTCTCTGTGTCTCTCTGACAAATCAATAAATAAAATATTTTAAAGAAATAAAAATAAAAAAATTAAAAATCTAGGGGCCCCTGGGTGGCTCAGTTGGTTAAGCACCTGTCTTTAGCTCAGGTTATGATCTCAGGGTCCTGGGATTGAGCCCCACGTCCCAGGCTCCCTGCTCAGCAGGGAGTCTGCTCCTCCCTCTCCCTCTGCCGCCCCCCCACTCGTGCTCTTTCTCTCTCTCTCGTAAATAAATAAAATCTAAAAAAAAAAAACTATTAAAATTTTTTTTTAATTTTAAAAAAAAGGAAGGAGATGTGGACACCTGCCACAGCACGGATGAACCTTGAGGGCGTTCTGCTGAGTCTGGCAATCAGCCAGACACAAAAGGACAAATACCACATGATTTCACTGCTAGGAGCCCTGGAGTTGTCAAGTTCATAGAGACAGAAGGTAGGTGGTGGGTGCCAGGGGCTGCGGCAGGGGGTGGGGAGAGGGTGTGTAATGGAGACAGGGCTTCAGGTGGAAAGATGGAAAGATGGGCCCTCTGCGCAGCGATGGGAATGTGCCAAACACTACTCAACTGTGCACTTACTTAAAAATGGTGAGGATGCAGGGAGCCTGGGTGGCTCAGATGGTTGAGCATCTGCCTTCAGCTCAGGTCATGATCCCAGGGTCCTGGGATCGAGCCCCGCGTCGGGCTCCATGCTCAGCAGGGAGCCTGCTTCTCCCTCTCCCTCTGCCTCTCTCCCTGCTCATGCTTTCTCTCTCTCTCTCTCTGTATCTCTGTGTCTCAAATGAATAAATAAAATCTTAAAAAAAAAAAATGGTGAGGATGCATAATTGTAAAAGTAAAGTAAAAATGCAAGAGGTAGACAGGGCCAGTGCTGGGCACGTAGAAGGTAAAAGAGGCGCCAGGAGGAGGAGGAAAGAGGGCACTCTGGTCAGCACCACAGCTGCCCTGGTCGAGGGGCACGCGTCCCCTTCCCACCTTCTGACCAGGCCTTGGGACCTGAGCCCCTGCCCAGGTCTCCGAGGCAGATGGTGGCTCTGGGCGCCCTCTGGTGGCAGTGCGAGGAGTGACCCACCCCAGCCGGCCTGGGGCCCCTGGACCCCCTTGCCAGCTTTCCTGCAGAGAATGAGTCCATGCCTGTGGGTGCAAGGGAAGGGTTCCTGGCCAGTGGCCTGGTCTGGAAGGGGCACGCACATGGCCCTGGGCCACTCCTCATCACCAGGCTTCCCCTGCCCAGGCCTCTTGCCCAGGGCCCGTGATAATGCCAAATGTCACCCACAGAAAACCTGGACAGGGGCCACCTGTCTTCACAGGTGCTGTCCCCCAACAGCAAAGCACCTGGGTGGCGTTAGCCATCAAAGATCTGCTGCCCACGGGACAGGGAGCCCAGAAGGCCACGCCTGCCCTGGATTGGCAGTGACCAGACACACTGCAGGTGCTCAGTAAACACAGGGGCAAGGAGTGTGTGCCCCAGTGAGCGAATGGGTGAGTGGATGACACCCCAAATCATAGGCAACTCCCCCAGTTTCTATGCTCAGTATGGGGGCTGCTTCACAGGCCCTGGGCCAGAGGCCTGGGTCAGGGTCCTGACCCTCCAAAAGGGCCTCTCTTCATTCCCACCCAAACCCTAGTTCTTGGCAAGGGCTGCAGCTGATGCTGGGGCAACAAGCTGCATCTCAGCTGAGCCCCATACTCCAGCAGGGGGGTGACCCCAAACGGCAAAGGGCACCTGACCGGAAGCCCACAGTACTGGAGGCATAAGGAAGGAGCACTCATGACCAAGGCAGGTGCTGAGCTGGTCAAGGACCTGGGGGCGGGGGGCGACAGGAAGGTGGGGCAGATCTGATGGCTGATGAGGGCAGGAAGACGGCCCAGGTCCAAGAAACAGGGCGAGCGTCCCAAGGACAGTATGGAGCTGATGGCAGACCAGGAACCAAGAAGGTGGCCAGTGAGAGAGGAGTGGGCCAGCCCCAGGCCCATCGGCCATGGGAGAGCTAGGACTTGGCCTGGAGGAGACAGTGAACCAGGCTGAAATGATGAGAAAGCCCAGAGAAGGAAGTCAAGGTGTTTCTCTTGCATGAGACCCACGTGGGCTCTCATTTCAGCAACAGTGGGGGGAAAACAGGCCAGCCTTGACTGAGTCCCCAGCTGAGCCCGTGGCCACCCAGACCCTTGCAGCCAGGACCAGCTGAGTGTGTGTTGCTCCAGCTGGTCCAGAGCAGCGTGCTGCACACCTGGGGCGGGGCTGAGGGCTGGGGTCAGCAGAGACCGTTCCCCAACTAAATGCCAAGGGGTGCCAGGAGCTTGCCAGCACCTGGGCTGCCCAGTGATGGGCTCTGGTGGTGCCCGCCATGAGCACTGGCCTGGATTGCCTCTACCCAGCTTGACCCAGGGAGTCCCAGGGTTCCGGAGTGACCAGCCTGCCCAGAGACCCCATTAGGGACATGGTCATGTCTGGCAACTCCTCTGGCTCCCCGCCAGCTGCACCCCATTCCCCTGACCCTCACCCCCAGTGGAACCTGGCCTTGCCCACCTATGGATGCTGTATCTGGAGACACGTGGCAGCAAGGTTCCTGTCATGGGGATGTGTTCTTCCCTGTGACAAGAAATCCACCCCCAACACACCTTGCATCTTGTGGAGGAGCCAAAAATGCAGCTGCAGATTGATTTGCAGCTGAGCTAAAAATAACCGCTAGGCTCCAGCCAGGGCCCAGGAAAATATCCCATTGCTAGGAGACAGCCGTTCCTGGGAGACGGCCATTGCTAGGCGACGGGGTTGCCGTGGTGACAGCTGGGCCCTGAGTCATGCTCCACCCTGGCCGCCCCACCCCTCTGCCCCTGGCGGGTGGGGTCTGGGTCCGGGGAGGAGGAAAGGTTGGAGGCAGAAGCCGGCAGGCAGCCAAGGGGCCCACACCCTGATGCCCACAGTCACCATGGCCACCCGGGCTTCCCCGTTCTCACTGCTGCGGGCGCCCACTCTGGCAGCTGAGCAGCGAGAACAGCTGACCGCACCCCCCCGTGCCCCACACGGTCCCCCCACCAGGGGCTGGGGCGTGGGGGCAGGGAGGGTTGCAGTGTCCATCTGGCCCTGTGCCTCCACAGCAGGAGGCTTCACAGTGGGCCGTTTACAATCAGGCATGCGGCTCTCACCACCTATGCTGTCCTAGGTGCTGCGCTGACCTTCAGGGCACCCCCGGGGACCCCAGACCTATTTGCCAGGAGGGGAAGTACTTGCCTGAGCACCCCCCATGCCCCCATGGAGAGGAGGATTTGAGCCAGGCAGGTGGCTCCAGCGCACATGCACCCAGAGCCCCCCGAGCAGCGGCTTGAGGACCCTCCTGTGAAGAGCCTCAGGAAGTCCAGAGTGGCTGCCCCAGTCCTCAGGAGCCATGAGGCCTGACCCTTCATGGGCAGCCCCAACTCCTGAGGTGACAGTGGCCCCCTCTCTCATGGGAGGGCCTCAGGGTGGGACGCACCAACAGCCTTTTGCTCCTCACCCTCCCATGACTAAAGAATTGGAAACCTCCCGCAGTCTGCACTGGGGAGACTCCTCCGTGTCCAGGCATCAGGACAAGGAGTGCTGCAGGGGAGGGGTGCTCCAGGTGAGGAGTGCTGCAGGGGAGGGGTGCTCCCGTGAGGGGTGCTCCAGGTGAGGGGTGCTGCAGGTGAAGGGTGCTCCAGGTAAAGGAGTGCTCCAGGTGAGGTGATGCCAAAGGTGAGGAATGTGGCCCTGGTGGCTGAAGTTCCAAGAGCAAGGGACCAGGTGTCCGGCAAAGCTGCGGCCAGTGGTGCGGGAGACTCAGGCTTTCTCGGGCCGCAGCAAAGAGCAGACAGAGCCCTGGGAGCATGGAGGCTGTGTCTACACTGCCAAGCGATGCCCTTGCGCCGGGGAGAACGGGAGCTGCCCATCAGCCATGGTGGAGAAAGAGAAGCCAGCTGGTACAGGGCAGGGTGACAGCGGTGGGGAGGGGCGGCGCCCACAGGTACTGGGGAGGTTACTTCCACATTCCTCCGAAACAAGGTCTTTCTTTGCTCAGATTCGTCCAAGGTGGGGAGACTTCTCGGGCCCCACTGAGGGCAGAACGTGCTCTCTGCCCAAGGCCCTGGCACCTGCTGAGGGACAGAAGAGCCTGGAAGCAGGAGGTGAAGTCCTGCCCTGCTGGTCACCACCCCCACCGGGGTCCACACGTGTGGAGCCTGAACTGGGAGGTCAGCCTGCTGGACCTGCACACCACAAGTGACTGTATGGGTCGGACAACACTGTCCCAGTCACCCCAAAGGCCTTCACGCATCCATTCTGACTGCCCACGCCAAGCTCCCTGTTTTGACCAGAGTCCTCACTAGGGCAAGACCGTGATTCCTCAGCCCCTGTCACACGGGAGAGCCGCCTTCACCCCAGCCTTGGCAAACTGGCTCCCATGCCCTGCACACAGCACAGGCAGCACCCAGCTCCCAAACAGCCAGGGTCCAGCCAGTGTGGCTCCCCCCTTCAGCTGCCCCCACCTCACACCAGCCCCACTGGGTCCTGCTTCCCCTCAAAATGCTGCAAACACCAGTTATTTTCATTTCTCTCACTCTCTCTTAGGGGCTTCCTTAAGGCTCTTTCCCTAATGTGAAGACCCCTGTCTGCTCTCCCACACCTGATCCCTCCATAGTCTCTGCTCCCAGGAGACCCCAAGATGGGTACCATTAGCCTCCATTCTCCACTCTGAGCCTGCTGGGAGGCCTGGCATCTCCAGTGGCCAGGAGAGAGCCCTGCACACCCTCCCTCCACACCCCATCCCGGTTCCTCTCCCAGCCTGGTCCCTACAAAGTGGCCACCACCACCTGCCTCCAAGGGGTTCCAGGCTCAAGACCTTAAAACCTAAAGCCCTGTGCGCACTCCTTCCTGGATAACTTCGCCCACCCTCTCATCCTTGGGGTTTCCCGTGAAGTGTCCTGTCCTCAGGAGCCACACGACCACCACCCTCCCGGGGTCACCATCATGTGGCCCTCTTGAACTTCCATCGCACTTGTCACCCTCTGAAATGGTCTGGTGGTTGTTTTTCGGCTCTGCGGAGTGGGGGGACACTGAAGGGGGTTTCTGGGCCTGGCACCCAGCAGGTGCGCGGGAGATGTGAGCGCCATGGAGGCTGCCTGGCCGCCCGCTCCGCTCCGCTAAGCAGGAAAGCTGGGAGGGTGAGGGTTGGACCGTCCTCGCCCCCGCAGTTGGCATCCAAGGGTCGGGATGCGCGGAGCTGGCCCCCCGCTCCACAAGACCGCGCACCCCCGGGGCCAGTCGCCGGCGCCAAAGAGCTCGAGTCCTCTTCCCCCGCAGGATTCCGGGACCCCACTGCTCCGCGCAGGCAGGGCTCTCCCCTGGCCAGCTCTCCGGCCGCGCGCCCCGCCCGCCCCGCCCGCCCCGCCCCGCCGTGCGCGCGGGTTTGTTGTTGTGCGGGCGCCCGCGGAGAAGGGGTGGGGGAGCTGCCGGGCCGGCGCGTGCCCGTGGGCGCCGCGGCGGGAGCGCGCGGGGCGCGCGGCAGGGCGCGGCGGGCGGGGCGGGGCTCGGCATCCTCGGCGCCCCCGCCCGGGCTCGCCAACCGGATTGGCTCCCGGCGCCGGGAGCGCGCGAGGGCGCGGCGCGTAGAGCCGGGCGGGGGGCGCGCGCGGCGCCGCCGGCGGCCGCGGAGGAGCGCGGGGAGGAGGGCGAGGGGAGGGAGGAGGCGCCCGCCCGGCTCCCTGCAAAGCGGCCTTATTTATCTGGGCACTGCCTCAGCCTCCCCGGTGGGAGGCTCGGGGCAGCCGATCCTCTCCCACCGGGGAGCTCCTCTCGGGCGCGGCCGAGGGGGCCGGCCAGGCCGGGGCGCGGGGCGCGGCAAGGCCCTGCCGGCCAGGCCAGCACCTCGGCCGCCTCCCCGCTTCGCCAGCGCCCATGCTGGGCTCCCCATGACGAGAAGACGCCCGGCGGACAGCGTGGCATGAGCCAGGTGCCCGGGCCGAGGTAAGGTGTGTGCACCGGGCCAGGCTGCGGGGCGGGGAAGGGGCCAGGCCGCGCCATCGCGGCGGCCACAATGAGGATTGGGGAGGGGGCTTCGGAGTGGGCCGCCACCCGCCCCACGGGGTCTCACATAGGCGCAGCCCCTTCCCAGGCCCAGGTCACCGGGCCTCTGGCCCTGACAGGCCCTCCCACAGATCCTGATCCCAGCGCCGCCTGGTTGAAGCATGCTCCCCAAAGCAACTGGACCAGGTGCCACCTGACCACAGCTCTGGGGAAGCAGAATTGCAGGCCCCGAGCCCCCCAGGTTGGGTGAGGTCCTGGACTTCCTTTGAGCTCTGAGCTCCCCTCCCCACCCAACACCATGAGCCCCTGGGCCTATGAGACAGGTGTTAGATACAGTTACACTCTGGGAGGAGCCATGCGGATGCATGGCCGGGGGCTAGTCTGCCCTGGGCACCTGGGCCTGTGTGGAGCTGCCACAGCAGGAGAATGAGAGGGAAGGCCTGGCCATGTGCCTGTTCTGGAGGAGGGGTCGGGCCTTGGCCAAGGTTGGAGGGCTTCAGAAGGAGAACTGGGCACCCTGAGGCTTGCTGGGGGGGGGGGGGGTCTGGCCTCCTGGGATTTGGGGGGAAGAGAGCCCCCACCCATCACCCCAAGAGGAAAGAAGGCCTAGCTGTTGGAGCCTCAGGGAGCCCATGGCCCAGTGGCCACTCCTCTAGCCCCTCCCGGCCTCTGCACAGGAAGCCTTCCCTCCAAAGAGGGAGCAGATGGCGGATGCCGCTTCACCTGCCCACTTGGTCAGTCCCCTCCCGCTACTCGCCACCTCCTAGGCCCCTTCTTTCAGCCAACCCCTTTGAGCAGAGGCCTGGGCTGGGACTCTGGGAGGGCCAAGGCTTGATGGAGACTTGCTGGCATGGCAGGAGGTGGCCATAGGGCTGGACCAGGTGCTGTGGGGAGGAGGGAGATCCAAACCCCCATCACAAACCTGGGCAGTGCAGGGCGGCCTGCTCAGGTCCCAGGGGACCCCGGGACTCAGCTGCCTGCTGTCTCCACTACTCGGCTCCCCTCGTCCTCAGCCACCTCTTATTTGGGCCAGGCAGGCCTCTCAGCACCTATAATGCTGGGCAGGCCCACTGGACAAGCGCTCCCCTCCAGTTCATGTCCACTTCTAGAGCACTTCAGTGAGTCCCATCTCCCAGTGCAATGAGGAAACAAGTAGTCCTGAGGTCGGGGGACCTAGGCCCCTCAAGACTACTGGCCTAGGCCCAGCAACCCTGTGCTGCTGAGAGCCAGGGAGACACTCACCCCAAGGTGGGGCACTTCTCAGCTGCCTGCAGCCCCATCTTGTCACACGTGGGTGCTCACTGCTGTGTCTCAGAGGGGAAGAGTGGAGGTGGCAGTGAAGGAAGGCTCTGTGGGCTAAGTGGGTGGTTCAGCACCTTCCCCACCACTGACAAGGAGGAGCTTCAGCCAGACCAGCCACAAAGAGTGGGCTTGGGCCACACGGCCTCACTTGGCAGGGAAGAGGGGGAGGGTTTGAGGCAGCCGCCCAAAGAAGCAGGCACTAGATGCCCCCAGTCTAGGCACTGGGGGAGGGGGGTGCTCAGATCCTTCAGAGTAGAAGAACCAAGATGAGGCTTGGAGCCCAAGCTCATTCCCCAAAGTGCCCAGTCTCACATGGCTGAGCTGTCCTGAGTGTGACCACAGGACTCGGTCTGATGAAGCACCAATTCTGGTCTCTTTTGAGGCCACGTGCTCACTTCCTGGAGCCCCTGGTGCACGGGTGGGGCAGCTTGCACCCCAGAAGCATCTCTGAGCTGGGGGCGGGAAGGGAGCATTCTGCTGGCTCATGTGCAAAGTGGCTGTGATGTGAATGTGCCTGAGTCACGGGGCATGGAGTTTGTCAGCCTGCGCTGTGTCCCCAGTCCCAAGCTACCCTGGTTGTCACAACTGTCCCTGGGGCTGTCACCACAGATCAACCTGATGTGAATTTCTCTGGCTACCCACGCCCTGCCCACCTCCACGGCCCTCAGTGGGTGGGCAGGGAGAAACGGTCAGTGCAGGTCCTACTGGGGCCAGACCGCTCCAGCCCCCCGGGCAGGCTGTGTCAGACTGAGCATCAGAGATGAGGGAAGAAATCTCTGAGTTGGGAGCCATGAGGACTGGGGGGTTTCCTAGGCATGAGCAGTCCAAAAGGAGCGTGTCCTGGGAGTGAGCATGCAGCTTGCAGCCTCTGGAGTGAGAGCAGGGGCACGACAGAGACAGTGCTGGGAGAGACCAGCAGCCCAAGGTCCCGGGCTGGGAGGACACAGGGGACTGAAGAAGCAGAACAGGGCACAGAAAGGAGGGAAGTACCCCTGGCCAGCAGCAGGCTGGCTGGATGCCCAGCATTGCCCTCTGCACCTCAGGGCCTGAGTCAGGCAGGGAGTCAGACAGACTAGGGGTCCTAGGATCAAATCCCAGCTCTGTGCAACTTCTGAAAATTCAGTCCCCGACTCTCCCTTTCCCCACTTGTGGTCAGGAAGTGTGTGAAGGGCTTGGACCAGCAATAGGGGAGTGGCACTGGGAAGAGCAGGGCAGGACCAGCTCCTCCCTCCCTTCTGGTGGCTCCTGTCCCCTCCTTGGATCTGGCCAGATTATGGGGGGTGGGCAGCCAGCCTCCTTACCATGCAACTCCCAAAGTGGGGACTCAGCCGAAAACGAGGTGTAAGCTGTCCTCTTCCCAAGGGTCTGATTGCAAGGCTCGCCCCAAACGCCAGGTTCTTGGGAGCCTTTTCAGAGACTCTGGCACCCAGACTCTGGCCCACCCTCACTGTGGACACTGGTCTCTGTCACAACCAGGATTAACAAACTGAGCCACACCCCCCTACCATCCACCTGCCCTCTTCTGAATCTGGCCTGTCCTCCACCAAGCCTCCTGGGTCCCTGGCAGCCATAACCCTTTCTTCATGACCCTGCTGACTGCCATTCCTCATTCATTCATTCATTCATTCATTCATTCATTCATTCAGCAAGCATTCAGAGACCATTCAGCCATGGTGCTGCCTGTCTTCAAGAGGTCCTTAGCCAAGGGAAGAGACAGAGGGGTTGACGTAATGACTGAGACCCTGGAGATGCTTTTCTCAGGGCTGGGGAGTCCCACAGTGGGAGACAGGGGATGGCAGTCACACTGAGGTGTGGAGGATAAGGAGCTGGCAGGGTTAAGAAGCAGGGAGGCCTCCTGAGCCAGCAGGGGGACCAGCATGTGCCCAGGCAAAGAGAGAGAGGGGAGGAGGAATACTGAACAGCGGGTCTGGCTGGACTGTAGGGTCAAGGCTGGGGAGGAGCCAGAGGTGAAGCTGTAAGGTCAACATGCTAGGTCTCAGGGCCCAGTGACTTGACGGCAAAAGAGGCAGCTCCTCTCAAAGCCTCAGCATGGACATCTGCAGACTGTCAGCCTGGAAGCCACCAAGTTCTGGAGTCCTCCCAGGAGACTTGAGCCCCCGCAGCCTATCCCAGGAGGACCTCCTCCAGAATTCCGCTCCACACGGAGGCACAACACACCAAGGGCTGAGGCTGAGAATAGTGCAAGTTTGGCCATCTTTTTAAAACGCCTCTTTTCCTAGCATTAGCTCCTGGTGCTTATTTCTAAAGGAGGAGGCAGTCCGCATCAGATTGGCAGCGGCCCCTACCCCATCCTAACAAGAAACTCCGGGCAAGTCTTCTGAGCCTCACTGGGCACAGTGGGGGCAGTGGCAAGTACCAAAAAGGTTGGGGTCTCAGCCCATCTGGCTGGGTGGATGGGACGAGAGGCATAGGGGCACTTGTCCCAGCTCCCTCAAGAGACCTCTTGCCTAACTGACAGGAAGACCCATCTCTGACCACAAGCTCAGTTCTCTCCTAAAGCTCTGACCCCTGGGCTAAGCTGTGGCTATTTCCAGTTTTGAGCCACGGAGCAAGGGATTCTCAGTCTGGGTCAGTGAGGCTGGGGTGTGCAGCTGGAGTCCAGCAGGACCATGGACAAGGTCGGGGAGCGGCAGGGCTGCCTCCAGGAAGAGGCAGCTCCAATCCGGGGCACAGCAGAAGGGCTGACGGACTGGGAGGGCAGAGCCTTCTGGCCAGGGATGTGGGTGTGGGGATAAAGGGCAGCCAGGCCTCGGACACCCCCCAAGGCTGAGGCCATCCTCCGCCTGGCCCCTCCCTCCCGTGGGCTCTCTCCACCGGCTGGCTTGTTTTCACCAGCTCCACCCTGAGGCCTGAATAGTGGGGATGGGACTGTGGGCGTGTGCAAATGTGAGCTCCGGTGGAGTGGGGGTAAAGAGCCCCGCAGATGCCCGGGGCATCCACGTGCATCCCCCCCAATCAACTGAGGCACTCCACGTGCACACCCCATGGCTGGGTGCATCTTTAACCTAAATCGGCACTGCTCTGGAGTTATTTCTCCCCTGGTGCCACCTCCGCCGCCTCCTCCGGATCTTAGCGGAGCGGGCGGCTTCTCGCCCCGCCCCGTCGCCTGCAGGGCCTCTCCCTGCTGAGCTTGGCATGCCGGGGCCGGCCCCCACCAGCCGCTGTCCGCGGTGGAGCCCTCCCGGGCCTGGCCTCCGAGCACGCGCACAGCGGCTGCAGGGGCGCTGTCCATGGTGCTGCGCTCCGGGGCCCAGCGAGCGGCGCCTGGTCTGCGGGAAGGGGCAGAGGCTGGGTGCGCGGCGCGCCCCGAGCCCTGAAATCATGGCGCCCCGCTCCGGCGACACAGAAGGTATTCAGGCTGGGGCTGCCTCTCTGTCGTGGGCTTCCTCCTGTCCCTTCCACGATGGTCTCCTCCTCACGTACTAGTTTTAAGAAATCTGGGGCAGCCCTCGTGTCAGGCTGCCCCCCCATCCGCCACCGTGGGTAAACTGTAACTCCTTGGAGCCTCAGGTTCCCAATCTGAAAGTGGGGTTAACAGTGGATTCCCCCCACCCCTCGCCAACACACACATACACGCGCACGGCTGCCATGAGGCTGGAACACATGATTATCCCAGTGGGTATTCAGCAAACGTTACGAATGTCGTGTTTCCGCCAGTGGGAGGCTGCCACTAT